AAAATCAAGTTTCTGTAGAGTCTTCAAAAAAAAAAAAAAAAAAAAACAGAAAAAATGTTGAGAGATTGAAGAACAAAGAGTTACATGGGTGGAAATTCAAAGCGCATTTCTGAGGAAGCAACATGGCCACGTTGTAATCAATACCAGAAACAGGGGGGGCGTCCAACACTGCACAGAGACATGGCTGGCCGAGAGTCTTGAGCGCATGGCAACAGAGAAGACTTGGTGGCATGGGGCTGAATGGCGACAATGATGGCTTGCAAGGAATTAGCTGAACCAACGTGGAAATCAAGCTGTTTGAACAGAACTTGGCTTTGCTTGGCTCCACAAAGCATGTCATTGCTATCATGAACACTAGAAATTGCAGAGGTTTGAAGCTTCCCGGCTTCATTCTTGGCCTGAAATGAAATTTGAAGAGGAATAATGGGGTTTTAATGGGGTTGAAAATGTTGGTTTTATGAGATGAAATGAGAGCAATTCATGCTTTCTTGCACTGTCTTCCTAACCCAATGCACACTTCCAATGCTATATGCAATTTTTGGTTTCTAGTTCTAATTGGGCTGTGGTTTTTTGTGCAGGTGAAACAGTTGGAAAGCATTTAGCTGATGAAAAAGGATACGTTACTTTGTTCAGGCTTCAATGGAAGTCACACAATCAACAAACCAACACATAATGCTGACAGATATTCTTAAGGACGAGTGCCTGCTAAATGTTACAGTCATGCTCGTCCAAAGCATGTTATCCGTGGCTGCATGCATATGTCATGCCACAAAATTATGTCTAGACCTACCAAACCTAAATCAATTCAAAATGTACTAGATGGGTGTGACTAGTTGTCAACTACATCCCTGATTTTGTATGACTTTAAGATGAAATCACATCTAGATTTGTCCGATTATAGGAGACGCAAATACAAATTGACTTGACTCACTTGGTGTTAGAAGTGAGTGTCGTATAATCGTAATGTTAGTTACTAAGTAAAGTGCTATTGTGACACTAAGCTGACAGGTTTGAGAACCCCATGGAAGAACAGACATGGATTCATATTGAATACCGGATTCAAGCAGACCTTGATTCATATCGATACAGGATTCAAGCAGAAAAAGAATTGTGAGTGAGAAATCTAACGACTCAAAATTATAGAACCGAATCATTTCAGTGCAACGAAAACTAATTGGATTCATCAAACTAGAATGAGCAAAGTAAGGGCAAATCCATCTAATACTCTGATTTTTGAAATCTCATGTACTTGTGACCTAGAATCTAGCCATGGATAGTAGTTAAGAACGCAGCAGATTTACAGCAGAATCTAATAGTAAAACAGAAAGATGCAAAACAATCAAGCCAACCCTCTATGCCCTTTCGCCTCTGATTCTCCTAGCCAATTGAATATCCTTCGGCATAATGGTGACTCTCTTCGCATGAATAGCACAAAGATTTGTATCTTCAAACAGACCGACCAAGTACGCCTCTGCCGCCTCCTGAAGCGCCGACACGGCACTGCTCTGGAACCTCAGATCGGTTTTGAAGTCCTGTGCGATCTCACGAACCAATCGTTGAAACGGAAGCTTTCGGATCAAAAGCTCAGTACTCTTCTGGTATTTTCGGATCTCACGGAGTGCGACAGTTCCAGGGCGGAAACGGTGGGGCTTCTTGACTCCGCCAGTGGCCGGAGCTGACTTTCGGGCGGCTTTGGTGGCCAATTGCTTTCTGGGAGCCTTGCCTCCGGTGGATTTCCTGGCAGTTTGCTTGGTGCGAGCCATTCGAACCGATTAGTTTAGCAAAATTTTGAATATTCGAGCTCCGAAGCGATAATTTTCAATTGAGCGGTGACGAAACTGCGAGGGTTAGAGGCGGAGATGAAGAGATTTGGATGAGAAAAAAAGCGGGAGATTTCAAATTTTGGTGGAAATTTGGTGAATTCCCTTTCTAGGAGGATGACCGCTGGATTGTTAATTGGACGGTTAGATTCGACGGGTTAGGTCTGTTCAAAGATAGCGATCCGTGGCTGAAACAAACAAGCAATAATATTCTGCCACGTGGAAAAATCCCCGCCTTTTCTTTTCGTCTTTCATTATTCAACTATTTGGAGGGAACAATTTTACCGCCTAAAAGCTTTTTTTATTTAAATTTCAAAATAATTCATTTTTATTGTTAGAATTTGATTGGATGGAAAAAAAAATAATAATATATTTTAATTTCAAATCCTTTTTATATTTCCATATTAGCTTCCTTTTACACATTTTAACAATTTCATAAATTTAATTAAATTCAACTTACTACATTAATCTCACTCTTCAACAAAATAATCTAAAGATCAAATTATTCATTCAAATGATTTTTCATCTAAGAAAGAAACGATCTATAATGAACATCAAAATGGAAAAATTTGCAGCCCAAAGAGCAATTCATTGAGAAATTCGGATAAGATCCCCATATACATTCAATATGCAACCGATCTAAACCCTAAACCACAAAATCAAACTCATAAATATAACAGAACCACCAAAAGAAATTATCGATCCACGAATTTAAGCTCTTTCCCCTCTAATCCTCCTTGCCAATTGAATATCCTTAGGCATAATCGTGACTCTCTTGGCATGAATCGCGCACAGATTCGTATCTTCAAACAGACCTACCAAGTAGGCCTCTGCTGCTTCCTGCAACGCCGCTACGGCACTGCTCTGGAATCTCAGATCGGTCTTGAAATCCTGAGCGATCTCACGAACTAGTCGTTGAAACGGAAGCTTGCGGATCAAAAGCTCTGTGCTCTTTTGGTACTTACGGATCTCACGAAGTGCGACGGTTCCAGGGCGGAAGCGGTGAGGTTTCTTCACTCCACCGGTGGCTGGGGCTGACTTCCGAGCGGCCTTAGTGGCCAATTGCTTCCTTGGAGCCTTGCCTCCGGTGGATTTTCTGGCGGTTTGCTTGGTGCGAGCCATTCGGGTGAATTGGAATGACAAAATTTGAAGGTTTTGGTAATATGATCTGAGACTTTGGTTATGGTGAATGGAGATTTGGAGGTGTAGATATAAGCGTTGTGTTGTGCGTGTTGAAGAAAAAGCGCGATGGATAACCGTTGGATTGCGAAGATTTTGGACGGTCCGATTTGTTTGTTTGGTCTGTTTGAGGATTCCAATCCGTGGTACTTTTTGACAGCCAATAATATTCTGCCACCTGTGATAATATTTTAATGAGTTCTCAAATTATTTTATGGATGATAAATTTGATTAAAATTAGTGAAAAAATATCAATTTATACTCTTGAATTTCAATCAATTAAAATCTAATAATAAAAAATCAACTAATTTAAATCTTAAAATTTATAAGTTTAATCAATGAAATTCCTAAACTGATAATAATTTCAATTTCTACCTTTTTATTAAATTTAAAAGTATTATAAATCAAGATAAAATTGGAGTTCACATGTGAATATTGTGCTTTTTATAATTTATATTTCATCAGTATAAATTTTATTAAAAAGATAAAAAATTTAATAAATTCAATAATATTTAAATATTCTAATTTTCATCACTGAAAAAGAAATTCAACATTTTAATTAATTTAGAATCTAAAATTTTAAGCGTTTTATTATTATAATTATTAGTTTAAAGTCTCAATTTATTATTTTTCTTAACTTTATTACTCTACATATTCTACATATTCTGTATAATTATTACTATAGTAAGTCTAAAATTTACCCGGATGTTCAAGTATACTGAAAACATCTTTACTCATTCATACTTTAACGTTCTATATACAACGATTTAAACCAATCAATCACCTGAATCATAGTTCTTTGTCTCATATCGATGTTCATGTTATAGATTCTTCCTATGTAACTTAGAGTTCTTAGTCACAATAACATTAGCATAGAAATCAAAGAAAAAAAAGTCAAACGAAAGTTGAACGGAAGCGAAATGGTTCGCTTCGCGTACCTGCAGGTAGCAATGTAATTTAAGTACAGACTACCCGCCTTCGGGATGTACACAAAACTATATAGTACATCAGAATTCACATAGTACAAATATAATTTTAGCAAATTTAAAAATAAGACATCATTGGATGCATCATTGTGTAAGGCAATACCCAGCTGGAAAACACGCACAAATGAAACAAACAAAGAAGATATATAATGTAGAGGACATTGATTCATGCCCCCATTATGATAAATAAAAGCAAAGAAATAACTGAGTCTATGTCTATACAACGTAAACTACAGTATTTCTACCGTATCGCGTTCGTCTCACGCCTAAATACAACCAAGAATACTCCTACAAAACTTCCCTACTACTGGCTGGCTCCTTGCTATTTCCATAGTACAAGAACCATACCATTATCTTTCCTTTCTAGAACTCAGAGAGTTTGCTACAACAAAATGGGATGTTGGATCTTTTTTTCTTTTTTTTTTGAGAAAGAATACCTCTTGGAATGTTGCATCTAGCCAGATGCTCCAGCAGCGGTGCGTTTCTCGTCTTCTCCTTGCTCTTCCTTCGAGAATTCCTCGATTAATTCGCGTTGCCTTGGAGTAAGACTCCTGAGGATGAAACACACAAATACCATCCATAAGAAGAAATGAAAGAACAAATTATGTTGAAATGTGTTCAATAAAAACTAAAGACGAGACGAATATCGACAATATCGACAGAGTTGCGGGAACAGGTGGACTCACGTTGGTATGCTGACGTTGAAGTGCACGTATTGATCGCCAAATGAGTACGAGTTCCTCGTTTTTATCCCTGCAAGAGAACAAGAACATCATGTCTAGCATAGACTCTCAATTTGGAGTGCCCTTTAGAAACAAAAACATTTGATGCTACCAACAAGTCTATTGTAACTATTTCCAATGCCATCAAGAAGTCTAAAAAGATGATATTGGTTACATTACCTTTCTTCTTCAGAACAACCTTCTGTCCAGGTTGAGTGCCAGGACGGACCTAATAATTACAACTCAATATCATCAATCTGGCATTAAACCCGCAATACTCATAACGCATGATTTCAATATTAACATATTGCCTACCTTAAGGACAACATCTCCCGTTAGAGTCGGAACCTGGATAGTGCCTCCTAATATAGCCTGCACCGAATACCAGATAGGTGAGCTATTACTCAAAAGAAAATAAGAGCTTTGGCTTCAGCTTATCGAGATAGAGGTAGGCAAAAAAGAAATTTTCGACAATTGTAGATCGCTCGAATAAATGCAGTAATTCGATATAATAAGGTAGACTACAGTTATAGGATATTCTTTTGGATTAGAGGCCCTCTTTTCGGTTTGGCCTATTTTAGGAGACACTTTTTATGCCCATGTAGAGTCTTACATGTTCCTCAATGAGAGCTTGGTTTCTTGCTTATCAAATTAAGAAAAAAAAGATAGAAATTACTACCTGAGTGATGCTTAAAACAGCATCTACGTGAATGTCAGAGCCTTCTCTTTTGAAAACGGGGTCTTCGCGAACCTTTTTTTTCCAAAAAAACAGAAGAGTCGACACATCAGCCAAGGGAGAAGACAACGATATTGAATGAAAGAGTGCACGAATGAATGAGAAATCGAAGTCACCTTAATAGTAACATATAGATCACCAGGTTGATTTCCATCAGGATCTGTACCTCCACTCCTGAACACCTTCATAGTTTCATTATCATCTACCCCTGTATAAACCATCAAGAACACCAATCTAACATTGTCCACAAGTGCAGAAAAGGATTTCTGAGAAATATCTATAAGATTTAACCTTGTAAGGAAACCAGGAAGACTTACCTGCCATTACGTCCACCTTAACCGTTTTCAATCTTCTCACAACTCGTTCTCCATTACAAGACTTGCAGAAATTCTGAAACGTTTTGTTTAAGAAAAAATGAGAAACCAGAATTTCACGATGCAAGATTAATTTGTAAAAAGATTCTAAACAAAAAGTGCAACATACCGATACAATTTTTCCACTTCCACCACATTGCGAACAAGTGGCTTGCATTCTGAATGGGCCAGTTTGCATGTACGTCTAGTTCGAGAGTGATAAATGAAATGTCTTAGATCTCACAAAACTACATTCATAAGGAAAATGACTAATGGAATAGAACAGAAAAAACTAACCATGCCTGAGCCCTTACAGCGTCTACATGTCTCAGGTCTTGTTCCAGGTGGAACGCCACTGCCACCTGCAAAATCAAGTCTTATCTTATCAAAGAACTGGAGGCAGTCAACTAGAAGATAAAATTTAAAGAATTGAATAGATTTTTCCTACCACAAGTATCACATGGCACAGCAGCATTAAATGCCACATTTTTTGTGCATCCCTGGACAGCTTCCATAAAGGATATCTCCAAAGCAACCTACCAACAAAAACCAACAATAATAAGTGTGCTGCCTAAGAATGAAGCTCAGAGCATATAACCAGATGGGACTTGCACCTTGATATCTTCTCCACCAAAGTTCTGGCGAAATATATTAGAGAACTGATCGCCACATACAGGAGAACACATGAAAAAGACTGTAAGCTTTCAAGGGGGAAAAAACATGACAATAGAAACTCAATAGAAGATTGGCTTACGTCAAATCCCCGAAACATTCCACTAAACGGGTCAAAGCCTTCACCAGGGAAGCCACCGTGATGGTCTTGTTGTGAAAATGCTTCGTGCCCAACCTATGAAATTGTATAGGAAACAGAATAAGTGCAACTTAAATCTTGAATGCTTACTTTTTAAGGGGGAAAAACATTTAAGTGGAATTCGAAATCATACCTCATCATATTGTCGGCGTTTATCCTCATCTTTCAAAACCTAACACCATTAAAACACAAACTCTAAAAACTTGGATTGTAGAAAGAAGAAAAGGCACACATTTATATACACATCTCTGCAAAAAATCATAGATGTATGGAGATTATTACCTCATAAGCCTTGCTAACTTCTTGAAACTTCTTTTCAGCATCGGGGTCATCCTTGTTCGTATCTGGATGAAGCTTTTTTGCTAGCTGCCAAAGAAAAATGTTCAATTCACTATAATGTAACAGCACGACTTAACAACAGATTCGCCCGAAAAAATCTAATTTTCAATTTAAGGAAAACAGCTTTCAGAGCATCATGCAGTCACCAAATGCCGAACTTCTAACTTACCCCGTAGTATGCTTTCTTTATTTCGGATGCAGTTGCATTCTTGTTCACACCCAGCGTATCATAATAATCTCTAGCAGACATTTGTGCTGATTCAAAAAGTACATAAATGATAAAATGTTTAAGTATTCCCGTCACGTTTGTGATATAAAATTGATAGCATATACTACGCGTAACTTGTTGATGCAACAATGATATCAACCTACAGCAACTAGAACTGGAAGGATAGGCATAACGCCCATCAGCTATGGATGCAACAGAGGAAATCAATTGAAGAGAACATGATAGGAAGTAAATAAATGTATTCTGAATTATGTATAACATTGTACCAGTGCCATGAATTAATTTTGCTTCTCCATGGTTGGCCCCAAGAGCTCCCAACTGAAACCAGTTCTTTTTATTCACTGCACCACAGAATTTTTTTAAAAAAGATCAATCAACCAAATGGTAAGAGCAAGATATTAATCCAATTCCAAAGAGAACTTTTAACGAATAAGAAAAAAGAGGGTACAAATACAAAAACATACCATTCTTGGAAGCGAAATTTCCAAAAACAACGGATTGATTGCAAACCCCAGAAGTGAATCGCCTACAACTCCCTTGAAGAATCGCGTCGTTTACCTAAAAAGAACGAATCTCGAAATAAAATCACAGAAAATTACGAAATCGACAACACGATTACGAGACAGAATCAGATAAAGACGACATACGGAGCTTGAGGGTTCGCGAGGGAGGTGGGGTGTGAGGGACCGACGAGACAACAAACGGATGAGCCTGAGGCCATCGGAGCGAACCATTTGGAGGTACGTGACGCAGAGGGTTAAGGGTGTATCTGAAACTGGGTGTGTAGGTAGGTGGGAGAAGGAATTGAAATAGGAAATTGACTGATAGCAAATGGAGGATATGATAAACCCTGAAAAACCCTAATTGGAGAAAGAAAGCGCGGAAGGTTCTAGCAGAGAGAAGAGGAGGAGGAGGAGGAGGATCGCTCGCCTTTTTTCTATAATTTTTAAGCTTTAGGCGTTGAAGGAGGGAGGAAAAGGCCCAAACTTTCCGGAAGCAACCTTAAGCTATTTGTCTGAGCCACCGTGTCCCAAGGAGCCCAATTATTCCGTATATATTTATTATTTCCTTTCCATTTCAATTTTTTCCAATATATATACATACCGTAAATTTAGCCTTACTTATTTAGATCTTAATTTCTAGATGCTACTCAATATTAATTTTAGTTTGTATATTTTTATTTTTATATTTTAATGGCAAGGATGAGTGAGACCAATCGCACTTTTTATGGCATGCTGTGCGACACTCACTTTTCAGCAACAAGTGAACTAAGTCAATTCGTTCTTATGTCGTCACTTTCCAACCGAAGGTTTAAGAAAAGATGGCAGAGAAAGATTTTGAAAGAGTGTTATATATGCAAACAATGGCTCACGAAGGTTTTAGAAACGATGGCAGAGAGAGATTTTGAAAGAGATGGCAGAGAAAGATTTTGAAAGAGTGTTATATATGCAAACAATGGCTCACGAAGGTTTTAGAAACGATGGCAGAGAGAGATTTTGAAAGAGTGTTATATATGCAAACAATGGCTCACAGTATATTACTATTGGTAGGGGGAAGTTGATGTAATCTCACATGGATTAATTAAGAAAAAGATCATGAAGAACGAACACTATTTTCATTGGGATAAGACATTTTAAACCAAAAATAAAGTCACGAAAATTTATAATTAAAGTCAACAATATTATATTATCGTACAAAGTCGTGTTCCATAGTAAAAAAAAAAATTGCAAATTGCAATCTCCTACCACAAGTTATTATCACCATCAGGGTCATAACTCAAATTGAAATTGTTCATAAATGGAAATGGTTCAAAATGATGTCAAAAAAAAGCCACAAGTTTGAAACACTAAAGATATCTATGACATCAACTTCTACCAACGTTATAATGGGAGGTTCTATAATTTTCAAAAAAGACTTCTTAATAGTCAGATATCATAAGAAATTCAAAAAGGAAATCCAATCGAAGGAACCTATTTGAACATTAAACAAATCATGCTACATACATACATATATATATATGTATGTATATATGTATACATGTATACATGTATGTATTCCAAAAAGAAAGAGAGAAACTGTGAACCATGGAATCTCCATTTCGAATAAAAAATTGGGACAGGCAACTACTGTAACGAGTCGTGAACAAGTTCAGATGAACAAAAAACAAACAAATCCCTTATCTAAAAGGTAAGCTCATGAGGTTTCATTCCAGACTTGAGAGAAAATCTTGCTGCCAAGTACGCCTTCAACTCCGGAACACCCTCGATCGACTTTATCAATGGTGTATCCACAGCTTTCTGGTCATCCTTCTTGTCAGCTGGGAGGGCACTTTTCTCCTAGAATAAGAAGTATGAATCAAATAATTAGGACAGCTAAACAACGCGACAATGGGGCATCTTAGAAGTGCAATGCAGGTCCTTGTACCTCTTTCTCTGCCTCGAAGAACTCGCCTTCACTCTTCTTCTTCTTCTTCTGAACTTCCTTGGAGAAATACTTGTCGTCGAACTTCTCGGTGTTAACGCCAGAGAATTCTACTTTGGTGGAGGTTGCAATGACGTACGATTGGTTCACCCGTCTTAGAGGAACACCATTAATCTTGAAAGGCCCTATAGTCATAAAGGAAATGTTACAGTAATGCTTAAAAAGCACACCAACTTTCATAAGAAAACAAGAGCTGACTTCAGGTGGCGTTTCACATTAACTAGAATGTTACATTAAATCCAAGCTTCAGCATTAAGAAATTCAAATTCCCAGTAAACAGATAAGGAATAGAGCTTCAACTATTTGCTTTAATACAATTTGAAATCACGGGCAATAGAAAGAATTAATCAACATTGGGTATTTTTAAACGAAAGTAAGCAATAGAATAAGTTCTTCAGCAAATGCACTCACAGGACGAAGTAAAGGCAAACGTTTCCATTAAAGAGGACAGCAAAGAAAATTAAATCGCAAGAAAAAGCAAACTAAATCACAGGAAAACTTCTAAAATGCAAACAATACATAGAAGAAATAAGAGACGACAGAAAGCAATGAACTCACCAGTGACCAGAAGCAACCCAGATGGCAGCTGTTTCAAAAACACAACTCTCTTCCCCTTGAATCTCCCAGCAAGGATAATCAACACGGTACCGGGAGTAATGCTGGCTCTAGAATCACAAATAGAAAAAAATTAAAGTAAGACCTCAATCTTCAAATCCCAAAGCTTCTCGACCGGAATAAGAGTAAGACCTCAAAGCACTAAAAATCAAACAGAACAAAATAATAATAATAAATTGAGCGAGCGAACAAAGTCGCCATACCTTAGCTTCGTGAGTCTGGCCTTGCGCTTGTTAACAAGGGGCTTCTTCACATCATCGGCAGGATAAAACTTCGGCGGCTTCTCGACTGCGGCATCAGCTTTTGGCTGGGCATCATGACGAGGGAACACTCCACCGTTTTTGGCCTTGATGGCCCAAAGACCTCGCTTGTGATACATCTTAGACCTCGAGTATTTACCGACGCCTCGGATTAGATCCGGGTTTCTGGTAACTCTAGGGGTTTTGGGCGCCATTACCGTATCCCTGCGAGAATCTGCTGCTCTTCTTCAACGAGAAAGAAACTACCACCAGAAAGCCTAATCATTCAACAAAGGGAACATATATTAGGGTTTCTTTTTTTCTCGGAAAAGCCCTAATTCGAAGCTCTTGATAGTTTGGGCTTGGGTCTAAGCCCTAATTCGAATCTCGTGTAGTTTGGGCTTGGGCCCAAGCCCTAATTCGATGCTCTTGATAGTTTGGGCTTGGGTCTAAGCCCTAATTCAAATCTCGTGTAGTTTGGGCTTGGGCCCAAGCCCTAATTCGATGCTCTTGATAATTTGGGCTTGGGCCCAAGCCCAAATGACAACAATCAAAGGTTTATTTTTAACAACTAAAAAAAATTGAGCATATGGTTATATTTATCTTAAAAAAAGGAAAAAAAAATTGAATGGCACGTGCGGTAAGCACGTGTGTGAACCTTCATGCCGACTGGATAAACCGCTGGGCTCGCTCACCTCAGGGTTCTGTTGTTGTCGCTTCGGAACACAAAGCTTTACAGACCAAAAATGGCTTCCATCTCTGCCGTATTATCGCCAACGAATCTCATCCACAGTTCCACAAAACCCGCCGAAATCCTTCTCAAATCAGTTTCATTTCACCGCCGTCGTACCCATACCCTCCTCCGCCTATCTCCCGGTCGCCCCTCGAGACTTTTCGCGGCGCTTACTGCTCAGGATTCCAGTTCAGTGGCGGAAAGGAAATTGTACGTTGGGAATATACCTAGAAATGTGGATAATGAGGAGCTCACTCGGATTGTTGAACAACATGGGGCTGTGGAGAAGGCTGAGGTGCGTAATTTATGATTGATTTTTTTTTTTTTCTTCTATTGTACATTTTGAAATTCGTTGCGTACCCTGCGCGTCAAGATGTTGATGTTGAGGTTTGCTTGCTGGATTCTATTATTGAGGACTCATATCTATCTGCTTGATTAGTTTGTCTTCAACGAATCTTCGCATGAATTGAATTGAGTTAATTGTTCATAAGTTGAGTTCATCAAAACTTCTTCCTGAATGTACCCTGATTTTGGCATGAATTTAATCGAGTTAATTGTTTATAAGTTAAGTTCATCAAAACTTCTGCCTGAACGTACCTTGATTTTGGGCCGAATTTGTCCACCATTTACTTTCAAATGGAGTTTACTTTCAGAGTGTTATCCAATCCACGAAGGAAGTAAAAATGGAAAATGTTCATAGGAGAGAGGGAAGGAAGAGTTCATAGGAGGGGAAAGGATAGTTACGCTCTGTTAGTTACAATAAGCTGCAGCCACTTATCAAAGGGAAGAAGGATGTACAGGACGATTTTAGGGGAAAGGAGAATCGAATCCTGTGAAATGCTCGCCACTGGCTCATAGAAATTCCTTAGGACTTTAAAATTTAATTCTTGCTGCTTTCGGGTTCATCGCTTCAGTGTCGTTGCGTTTGTATGAGAGTATCTAAGATGAGTACGAAACAGTCCCTGAAATGAAGTAGCTAATGACATGTCTTTAATGATGTATTTCTTGCAATCAATTTACTTGAAGAATTCTAGCATCCTCTTGTTCTTAATCCTTACTTGCTAACTGTTGGTATTGACTTTAAAACTCCAATTTTGTTCCATTTCCAGGTCATGTATGACAAATACTCTGGAAGAAGCCGCAGGTTTGCCTTTGTTACCATGAAAACAGTTGACGACGCAAATGCAGCAATTGAGAAACTGAATGAGACGGTAAGCTAAATACTTATCAAGTGCAACAAAAATCGAAAAAGAACAAGAACAAAACAATTGTTTCTTACTGTTCACTAGAATCTAGGGTTTAGGGTTTAGGGTTCACTAGAATCTAGATAGATGAATTGTGCTGACTCTATCGGTCTAATGACAGGACGTTGGGGGACGTACAATTAAAGTCAATATAACCGAAAAACCTGTGGTAAATATGGTTGATATGTCACTTCTTGAGGCAGAGGAATCCCAATTCATCGACAGTCCCCACAAAGTATATGTAGGAAATATTTCGAGTACTGTCTCTACCGAAACACTCAAAAACTTCTTCTCTGAGAAGGATAAAGTTCTCAGTGCAAAGGTTTCACGGGTTCCCGGTACATCAAAAGCAAGTGGCTACGGTTTTGTTACCTTTTCTTCCGAGGAGGAAGTTGAAGCTGCCATTTCATCTTTTAACAATGTTGTAAGTAACTCGCTTCCATTCTCTATCACATCGAACGTTGTGACACCAATACTGATTTATGCAAACTCTACCTCATTTTCTGGTCGGGTTTCATGCATTGGCAACATTTTTACTCACATTGTCCAGTAGAGCATTCCTTGTTTCATTTTCTGTTTCCCTAAACAATTACATATAGAGTAGCATTCTGATCACCAACTTGTAAGAAGCATTTCTAAACCTTGTCGATTGGTATGCCCACTCGAACAACTTAC